ACAGCTGCTGCTAACAGCTAACAGCTGCTGCTAACAGCTGCTGCTAATAGCACAGTTTCCATTTATTTTGGAGGAGGTGAAGAGCCTCATGAAATCTGTCAGCTCTTATTGTGAAGGATCTTGGTCCAGGTTCAGTGGTTTCAAGCGGGGCTTGTGTGCACCACGTTCTGAACTTTGGAGTCATGATGGACCATGTTGATCGCAGACCCCCTCACTCTACACCAGGACCAAACCCAGGTGTGGAACCCCTGCAGGGTCTGGGTCAGAGCAGAACATCTTGTCTATGATCTGATTCTTTCTTTGTTCCGCTAGTTTCAAAACATTGTGTGAATGAAAACGTTTTATTCTGCAGCTCAAAAAGTTCTTGTGGGTTGGAGGTTCTTCCCAGGAGCTGGTTTGAGTCGGATCAGCACCTACAGATCCCCTTGCCTCCTGAAGAGTCCTGATTAGTTCAGCTGTCTCACCTGACAGGCGTCCACGCCGCCCTGCAGGACTCCGGCGCACAGCATCCTGTCGGTGACTTGGTCCTGCAGCAGAACCTTACACACGGTGCTGTTGATGACTCGGACCTGGGCCTTCTGCAGGATCTTGGCCAAATCTCCTGAAGCAGACCAAAACAAAACCAGGATGAGGAGAGAAAACGTTTTACTTGGAGCAGACATTTTGTTCTTCCTGAGACCGAGCTGGCTCAGCCTCACCTCCTTCTGCGGTGGAACCCCAGCCGGTGATCCAGGCCTCTTGGCCTGCTGGGACATCATAAGAGGGGGAGGGCAGGCAGATGGGCCAGATGTTCTGGTTCAGGGTGACCGCAGAGTCCAGCTCCATGAGGGCGAGGTCGTTGTCGAAGGTGCCGGGGTCGTAGTTTGGGTGGGCGATGATTCGCGCAATGTTCCTCGTCTCCGTCCACTCATTGGTCAGACCCTGAATGAGCAGACCCAGGAAGGCCTCCCACAGGTGGGCCTGAGAGTACCTGCAGCACATGGAGCAGAACTCAGAGATCCGATTGGTATTCTGATGGGTCAGCCAGCAGCAATCCAATTCAATTCAGTTTATTTCTAAAGCTCCAAGTCACGACAGAAGTCGTCTCAGGGCCTGAACAGAAACATTCATGTATAAAATAATAGTTGAACATTATTTATCTGAGGAGCAGCTTTGAGTTTAACTCCATCACAGAACTCTCATCTTGAACAAGCATGAAGGCGACAGTGGAAAGAAAAACTCCCTCATGAGGAAGAAACCTTTAGCAGAACCAGGATCAGGACAAGAGGACCATCTGCTTCGACCGGCTGGGTTTGGTAGGAATAGATACACAATGGCAGGTCAAGAATCACATGTTAAGATAGAAATAGTATCAAATGAAAACTATTCAATTTTAACAATTCATTTAAGGAAATTAGGTCAGTTTGTCCTCTAGTAGTCTAAGTCTATAGCAGCAGAACAAGCTAACCCTAACTATAGGATTTATCAAAAAGAAAAGTCTTAAACTGGACAATGTGTCAGTCTCACGGACAGAAACTGGA